AAAATAATGGGTTTGAGAGTTGAAAAAAAAGAAAAAGGGGCGCTTTAAAATGGATCTTGTCCCCGGGCGCGAATCTTGTCGCCGGGCGCCAAACACCCTCGCTACGCCACTGAACTGACCCACTACCCGAAAACCTATCGAGTTGGAACTGGCAAATAGACTCGTGCCGATGACAACACATTGTTCAAATGTCCAGTCCCATCCCACCAAAAATCCGTTTTTTCGCCCGTTTTTCAAGGGGCTTTGAATAAAATATGATCCCCCGAATTAAAATGCCTGATAACTGCGCTAAAAGTGATTCTTTAAAAAAAAATAAATATCGTTAGTGGCTTTGGTGCGTAATATTGTCTTTTGTTTTTCTGAAAAAATTGGTGAAATAAATCAGCGGTGTAAAATTGGGTGTTTCATTAGAATATTAGCATAGTTCACGTGCAAAAAATTTGATTTTTCGGGCCGGGGGGGGGGGGGGGGGGGGACTAAATGGGTTTCTTTTAAAGTGCTTTACTTCAAAACTTGCGTGCATGTTTTGTCAAATTTTCAGCCAAAGAATTGCTCGATATTACATGTTATAAAGAATTTATAGGAAAAAACTTTCTTTTAAGGGTTGTAAAATTTAAATTGAGCTTAAAATGAAATGATACACGGGATTTATCTTTTTTTCAAATATCAGTTCTACGTGAGCTCATATTTTCTTCTTCTATAGCTTAAGGGCCCACGACCAATGTATTGATCATTCTCGGCTCCTATGTATGCAGAGGGGACTCCCGATATTTCTGCGCCTGGTGTTGAAGATGCCATTTCAATGGTTGCAATGGCTACCCAGCGAGGGTATCAGGAACTGCGGCAATATCATTCACATTTGATTGATGTTTTTCTGGGGGTTTATTTTTTTAAATTATTTTTATTTTCAGCTTCCACATTTTGTTAAAGGCTTTTAAAAAAAAAAATGATTAAATTCTTCAAGGGAAATTGGACCAAAAAATAAAACAAAATAAGAAGAAATTATTCAACGATGATTCCATTCTCCATAGAAAGAGAAAAAAAGAGACAAGCCGAAGTAAAGAGCTTGGGCCTAAACCAATTATGCTTCACCAACTAAACATTCCGAGTTTCCAACAGGATGAACAGATGCTATCTTTATTTGAGATCGAAGTGGTTCATGCAAGGATTGGGCACAGTTCCGATTATGAAGATTGTCTTAATGCTATAAAAATAATCAATAATGATTGATTTAGTTCTAGCCTCAGATAGTGATACACCTTATTTTTTTTTTCCAGTTTGAATTATTGATTAAGCTTTGGTTATCAACAAAACCAAATAGGAGTGTAGTGACAGAATGTTTTAATTTACTCGGGGATGTATTACAGGTGAATGGCTCTGTATTGAAGTCTTACATAGGTGAGTAGCTGTGTTATTGAAGTCTACATAGATGAGTAGCTCTGACATTAAAGTCAAACAAGGTGAGTGGCTCTATCATTAAATCTAGCATACAGGTGAGTGGCTCTGTCATTGAAGTCTAACATTTAGGTCTAACATTTTGCTGAATGACTCTGCCATTAAAGTCTAAAATATAGATGAATGGCTCTATCAATGAAAAATATATTCTATGTAAATATCAAAGGTAAGATGAGATGAAAATGTGAAAAAAATATGTCATCATTGGCGCGTGCTGCATGTCAAAGGTATTTGACACGGGTAGATGTCAATATTTTACCTCATTGATGTCAAGAGGAACACTAAAGAAATCAGTTTAAGTTTAAGAAACAATCTTTGGTTCCAGAACAGACTTTTCAGTGACTGTGAAAACTAAGTGAATACATTAATTACTTTTTTCTTTATCAGGATCTTTTCTTTTCACCTTTCTAAAGCCAATAAGATATTCTTACATAAACTATAAACTTTCCACCACTGACTCCACCATTCACTCCACAATTAACTAAATCCCTGACTTCAGTACCGACTTCACCCCCCTGACTTTTGCACTGACACAATCCATGACTCTATCACTGACTCCAGCACTAATGCCACCACTGACTCAACACCTGACTCCATCCTTGACTCCACCCCGGACTCCACACCCGACTCAACCCCTTAATCCACCACTGACACCTTGATGCCACCTCTGACTCCACACTGACTCCACCCTGACTCCATCTCT